ATCGAAGGCAACGGTCTGTGCGCTTGTGTGTACCACAAACTTACAGATTCTCATTGTTTCTTGTTATAGTCCTAGTCGCGTCCATCACTTGTCAAAATTACATTCCTTTTACTCAGTCTCTCAAACTTCGTCTTTTAAGTAATGACGATCCTAATTTTACCAACAAATCAGCGGCAATGTGCTTGTTTTTCGAAAAACGTGGCTATCCTGTTTCTGTCGCTTAAGCGGGCCACCACTGTATTAAATAAATTGATAGACAGCGTTACAAACGTCACAAAAGGAAAATACCGATCGAATCCCATTTACCCTAACATTTCACCCTCACAATCACACAGCTGAGTCCATCATTCTTAATAACTTTTAATTACTTCAGAATGATCCCGAAACTGGTACCATCTTTTCGCAACCTTTATTGACATCATTCAAACGCGACAAAGACATGGGCAATTTTTTGATCAGAAGTTCAACATGTACAAACTAATGATCAACACGGAACTTCAAATGGCTGCGCACACGATGCAAAACTGGCCCCTTTATTCATAACGTCGGGAAAATATCGAGATCAAAGCGATCCATTAGATTACTGATCATTTCACGTTTACCTCCGCCAATGTCATCCTCCGCCCTTGCATAACTTGAATTATTTCAAAAAGGTATACATTGGCGAAACATAAACAGGAAGACGAATTAGCGACCGTTTCCGAGAAAACCTTCATGACGGAGAAGGAATGCCAAGGACGCATCCAAACCAGTCGCTAGACACTGAAATCTCTCAAATTATTCTAAATAGAATATGGAAGTCGTCGGCCTTTCCCTACATCTAGGCAATTCGGAAAGCTGCAAAACTTTCGAACAAAAATTTAGTTATTTTCAAATCATGGGTATTGTCGTAGAATGCGTTGACCCAGGGATAAAAGGATGCTATTACTAGGGCTTTAAGAGTGAGGCTTGCTTTAGATTGACCAATCACCAACGAGAATTTTTGCTGCGTGCTTCTTGTGTGCGTTATTTTCGGATATGTAGTCACGAAAACGAGATCAGGTCGCAGACGAGACGGGATCAATCGATTCTTGTTACAACTGCAACTTTGTAGAACTTCATTTTAGCCCACAGTCCCGTAAAGACTACCTGGCGGCCTGCGTAGGAGGATAATGGCTGGCAACTGTGAGAGGTAAGTATTGATTGTGAAAACTTTCTTTGAAACATTCCGACGCAAAGAGCTTTCGAGTGAGCAATATTATGATTCCGAAACAAGATACAAATTATGGCTGTAAAATGAAAACTGAATTTGCGAACTTAAGTGGACTTCGCAACTTTCGGATCACTCCTCAGTCTTGAAGCATTATGCAACAGAATGTTTTCTTTTAAATCTGACAACTTTTAGAATTCCTAACACAACGCTATATACGCAATCTTATTTCCGCGTCCGTCGAGTAAACAACAATTCCAGCACGCGTGCAGGCGTGTCGCCTGTACACGAGAGTTTCCGACTTTTTCCGTTGTTAAATCGCAAATTTTGTATTTGTTCGAATAAGCTTTTATTTCAAACTATTTCTTTGTCATTTTTTTTGCCATGCCCATTAGTTGTTGGTTTTGCTTCACACGCCGTTATTTGGTTAACTTAGCAACTTTGAAATCCGATCTTCAAGTTTTCATGTAAATATAACATACCGATGACATTGTTTTCATATCTTTAACAAAAGCAATAATTGCTGTCTTAAACCATTTAACTCCCGCAAGTGATCAACATGTTCCTTCTCCCAATGATATCTACATATTACTTAGCAAACTGGTGATGAGAACACTCAAACCCGTCAGCTGGAAGTTATCTTGATCTATCACCACATTATTGTACTTTGTCATTGTAAATATGCGAAACGGCAAAGGAGGCGAATTAACAATCAGATATTAAATAAGGTTAAGTTAAGATATTACGTACGGTTAAGGATAAGTACAGTTTAATTACAACAACAACAGCTTCCTCAATAAACACGTTGCTTAAAACCCTAAGACTTTAAACTACAAAAACAAAACAAAAAAAAATTTAAAAACCAATATTAAAGAACACTAATGCAAAGAAAATGACAAAAATGCGGAAGGTTAATTGATTTTAAAAATGATAAATACTTTGTTGGTTTTAAAGTCCTCTGCAATAAGTTTCCACCTGTATTTCAAATTTGTGTCACATGGGGGGGCAGACAGACACGCCTACCCCTCATCTTACTCAAAAACAAACTGAAGAAGTAAGCAGATGGATGAGAACATTGTCATCGTCATTTTGTCGCATCAGCATCTTTGAGTGAAGGATTCTCTCAGACCTTTGTTTCTTAGCAGGGCAAATATGAAAAGTAACTCTGACGCAGTGACGCAACATGATATTAATAACTAGTCGGACTTCCTTCCGCAAATATAGATGCTATTCAATGTTCAAGATTGGTTTGAATTTAACCACATTTTCCCTGTTCATTGCAGTTTTCGGTTCTGGTAGAAGAACAATACTTGATATGAAAGAAAACAGTTAATCAAATGTTGACAAATATTTATTCTATAACAAAATCAAAATTCAGTTTTTCACGATTATCAATTTCATCCCTTTTTCTCTTGTATGTTTCTTTATAATTTCAATCACGTCTGAGTTTTGCGTTTCATTACAGCTTTCAACCGTTTTTCGTAATCTTTATCATCAGTGCAAATTAAATTTCACTGAAGAAGAATGCCATGTTTTAAGTTAACTTATGGGTGATTCCCATAATGCACCATTGGAAAAGAAAATAACATAAGCATCCGACAAGAAAATAATTCGCTAATGGATTAGAAGTATTTTAGAAAACAACAGTTTAAAGCCATCTTCAGCTCTGCGCCGCGCGAGAAGAGAAATGTTCTTAACTCAACCGAACATATCAATATTGCAAAAAAAGTAATAACGCAGCTCAGAATCTTACGTCACTAAAGAAAGTTGAAATTGTTGTGACAATAAACGAAAGCTTAGAAAATAATCATGTGGTTTCTTAAACACAATAATAATCCTCGATAACAATTATTATGACAAAATAGGTGAGTTGTGAGGGAACATTTAATATTACCTTACAGGAAATAAGATATGATTTTGGGTGAGTCTTTTATGAAATTCTGATTTTCTTTCACCATCCTCGTTTTATTAATTTTAATTCGATATCAGCTCGTCTCATCACTGAATGTAAGGCCACTACCATTAATTACCAATGCTGCCTGTCCTTGGTTCCAGGGTCCACTCGACCCCTTTCATACCTTTTTTCAGTGATCTTCTTTCCGCCAAGTTAAGCCGTCCTCTATTCCTCTTTCCTACTGAATTCCCTGTTATAACATCCTTGGGATGGCAGTGGGGGACATTCTGTTGATATTTCATGCTGTTGACTGGAATATACCTGATGGATGATAACTTTCCATGCGGTAACTTGTGCTTTAGATCTGATGCAGTAGAGAAAGTAGAGCTGTCAGTTATCTCTGAAGATCCCGTAGTAGCAGTAAAATCCGCCGAAATACCATCGTATTGGGATAAAGTTCAACTGCCTAAAGCAGACCCGAGAAAGCCGGAGCAAGCTGATAAACCTGCCCAACCAATGTTTTCATGCCCAGGCGACAAACCTCTGTTGACGAAGTCATGTCGCCCGCAGGAAGAGACAGTTGAGCTGGTGAATGAGCATCAGGGAATGAAAAGGTTGGAAAGGGAAGTATCGGATTTTCCCAAAGAGGGCTCACGACAATGTCGCTTACCACCTTTTGAAGATGAGCCTATTCGGAGATCCAGTCCATATCGGTAAGCGGAACCTATAATACGGTTACAGAGCAAATATGATTTTGTCGAAGATTCTGAAAACTTGGCCACTTCACACATGCGTTTGTGCTCTCTACGGCTGCTACTGCAAATCCCACGGGCCTCCTAATTTACATATATATCTTCATTACCATCATCCCGAAATATGCAAGGAAATTTCTTGTACCACTACCAACTACGAAACAAAAATGAAAATGAAGTTCGTTCATTCAGTACATCATCCCTTTCAAACATTCTCTTTCGAACTATAACGCATTGCTTTCCGTACGACTACTTGCATTTGGCATTATCAATTCACACTTCTCCTCTAGTAGTCAAGCATGAACCTGCCCTTAAGCCAGTGATAAGTAGGATCAAATGAGGTTCAACTTAGTTGAATCTGGCCTTAATTTTGTGTTTATTTTCATTTGGTCAATTGCCTTTTAGCTTTTTAGAAAATATACCACATTTTTTAAAAACATGTTTCGACAGTTCCTCTGTCATCTTTAGTTCTGATTTATACAAATGTCAGAGTTGAATTTAAAGTGTATAAAAAAATGCTCATTGGACAAAGCAGACAATAGAAACAGAACAATGTATGCAATTACAAGGAAAGTTTTAAATTAACATAATAAAGTTGATGATTAAGTGAATAGCTTCTTTGATTTTAAGTTGGAGAGTCGTGGAAACGTGATCTAAGATGCTAAAACACTCATAAGAACACACAGAGCGACATTGTTGAGAATTTTGTAAATGCCTGAAAACGTGAGGGTTCCTATCACTGACCAAGTGCTCACGCACACGTGATAAATGCCAGGATTACAGCCTGCACAGAAAACCTTTTAACCACACACGTACGGAGGCCACGAGGGATAGAGTATTTCACAACAAACATGTTACCTATTTTAAAAGATGAAAAAACCAACTTAATATCTATGTTATTACAATAACGCTTTGCGAAGTCGCGAACCCTTTTTTGAGTAACAAAAGAAAAATGCCAGTGTAAGGTAATTTGAGGTAAAAAAAGTAGTGTCTGAAACTGAAACCAGGGGATTGCACTCATTACGGGTCAGCATGAGGTACCGATTGACAATTCTTTCAACCAGGTGGGCTGGAAAAAGATTCTTTTTAAGGATTTCAGAAAGTTTCAAGAAATATCGTGACATATCTGCTTCTATTCAGACCTTTTAGCCTTAACCTTCCAATGATGAGGCAACCTTTGAAGCCTGAGCGAGAGCCATTACCAGGTATAGCTGCCGCGGCTTGTAGAACTGGCGCTGATAAGGATCTGGTCAAGGGGGATATTCCTGTTGGTTCTGGTAAGTAAGATCACAGAAAGTGTTTCAGTACCGGTTCATGATAACGTGTCTTAATTCATAATTGGTGAACCTGTTAGAGACGTTTGTTGATATAGTTTGTTTCTTTTGAGGGTAACAGAAAATGCCTTAACTATTAATCACATTTTGGTTTGGGTATTGAGAGAAATTTTCGCGAGAAGCTTTCTTGGATCGCAACTGGCACACTTGTATATTTAATTTTAAAGTCATGCTCAGCATATTGCATTGTGGATCTATACCTCGCAAGGTTTTTGTGGTAAATGGAAGCATTTTGGCTCTCCATTGAATGTGTTGGAATCAAAACCAGGAAAATCCCTGCACACGGTTTTTTTTAGGTTAACAAAAAAAAGAAATATAGTCATATCGAGTCCTTACAAAACATCTTTTTCCTTTGCCACGTGTATCCAAAGAGTAAATTAACGGCTTCTCAGACTCTTTGTTCGAGTCCAAGCTCACCAAGAAGGTAATCTACCATCTCCTCGTCAATTTCATTCTATTTTTCTCAGCGAAGGAATATCTTCTTCCTGCAAGCAACAACTAATCATAATTGTAGGGTGAACTCACTAGGCTGTGCAGGAGTGATCGGCCGTTGCCAGTGATCTATAAGAGACCGGATGCATGGCTTACCTCAGATAAGCTATTTCGTCTCAACAAATTTCGAAAGGGTCTCGAAAAAAATCTTGCATCAGCTATTTAGCAAACAAAGTAATATGAGAAATTTTTGAAATCTTCTAAGATATCATCGCACCAAGGGGATTCTGCCAAGGGAATATTTCCCTTTTAGAATTAGTATGCACTTTTTTTAAAGTAGATCTCTACGATCCCCATACCCCATGCGTTGTGGGCTCATCGTTATCTGAGGCGTAATTATTTATGGGCTTAAATTGGTAACACTGTGTGCGACAAACGGATAAAAAAATTTGGGATGATTTGATTCGATTTGGAACTTGTCCATCTGGCGCGGAAAAGGAAAACTTGCCAGAGAAAATAGCCTGATCGAATACAGTTTTATCTTGATAATTTTTGTTGCTGGGTCTAATTTTAACATCTACCGTCTATTTATAGAATCTGAGGACGAACATGAAGGTATCGACGACTCAAGTGATCCAGCTCAACATCAAAGTAAGTGAAAGAGAGCGTTAAGGAAGACGAATCCAATATAATTACATGTAATTGTGTAGTATAATCATCCAGGTGAGTGTAATCCTGAAAAGGACTGTTGTCAGTAGTGGTGACTGACGTTTCGACAATCTGAGCGGAAGTCATCATCTGAATTAAATAATAGTTGTTGTAAGTCGAATGTGTATAAGCTGATTGGTCAGTTTTGCCGTGATATTATTGGCTGTAAGACTCAACTGGCGTTGGTCGGTCGTGATCGGTCGGTCTTGATCCGTCGGTAAGGTTAGGTTGTTCTGTTGGGTTCTTTTGTAACGTTAATGTCGTGAATGAATCGCTTGCATGATGCCGGTAGTGTTTGACGCCTGTCGGGAGGGTCTGTTTTTAGTTGTTAGACCAGCTTTTCAGAGTCAGTCGTTGAAAGTAGTTTGTGCAGTCGGTTAGGCATTGCGCAGAATCCCAGTCAATGGTGTGGTTCCTAAGTCGATGATGTTCAGCAATGTGATTGTTGACATCACCTTTCCTCTTCGCTCGCTTGTGTTCAGTCAGTCTTGTTGTGAAATGTAAGAGGCGTGGCAATTGATCTCATAAAATGCTCCCTGTCTATTCCTCGGTTCATCCTTGTCTTTAACTTTGTCAGTAACTGACGTAGTGTAGAGATGGGTCTGTGAGCTACGCGGATATCGAAGGGTTGTAGGATGCGCGAGATGTTCTCAGATATGCCTGAGTCGCTTTAGTCATAGGGGTTACGGTGTCCTTAGCTTCGGTAGTTGTAATAGGTCGATGAATGTTTCGTCGGATGAAGTCTTCGATATAGTTGTTCTTTCAAAAAACACGGTCAAGGTACTTGTTTTCGTCGGATAAGCTGTCTGTCGTGTTGCATACTAGTTCCGCTCATCACGTTAGAATCCTGATAGTTGTGGCTTTTTGTGATGTCGGGTTGTAAGATGACTCGTCCAGTAACTTGTCGATATGTGTCGGTTTCCTGTAAACTGTCGTTCGTAATGAAATATCATCGTAGTTCCGGCCAGGATTAAACTTAGGTCACCGTTGAACACACAGGAGGCCGTCCAGATCGTCAGAGCCACCTGAAGACGACTGGTCAAAGCGCGGATAAATGATTTCCACAGAAGACTCAAGCGCTACGAAAACAAACACAACTACACGACGAACTGAAACATCTGATACCTATTGACTTACTTGAGACTGTTACGACTATTGCCGACAAACGAGCCAACAAGACGACTGAATGTTCCTATACTGGACATCAACAGGCGACTTTGTCTCGGCAACGGGAGCTATCTGAGCCGACTAAGGATAACATCAGAAGTAGAATTGCTTCCACCATACAATCAGCGTCACTACATGACAGCAACTTGACTAAAGACCAACGAGATGCACTGAAACGACTAAAAAACAATGATAAATGGAATTTAAACTGTGGTTGGTTTTGAACTGAAGATGTTCATACTTGTGAATCATTCTTTCTTAAGTATGACTGTTTTACAGAAACTGAAGAGGAACTCGATGATGCTCTGCGTAAAGGAGATTTCGACGATATTAACCAGAAAGTGACTCCAGAAACCCTATCACGCTGTAAAAGTAATACCTTACTCAAAGCTTTTCAGGTTGGTATTATAACTTGATCTTAACATATTTTACCGACACACGTTGGTAATTATCTAAACATATTTTATTGACACACCCGCTCGTCAGACGGAACAAAATTCCGTCTGACGAGCGCTTAGGCGCGAAACTCAGAGTCACAGAGAATATATATATATATATATTCCTAATTATTTGCCGACCTGAATTATCATCTCTTAACAAACGCACTGAATTCGTTCTTCATGCCGTCACAGAGACAAAGCGTTGCCGCGTAATAGCTGAACAAAACATCTAAAGTTACCGCCACATTTGTTATGCAAATTTTATCATATAACTACGATGGTTACAATATTGCCATTAAAATTCCCCAAAGAGTGATCTAATCACGAAACAGGCTTGTCAAGAAAAAGCGTAGTCTCTTTCTTTTCCCTAACTTAATTCATATATATACATAGTGCATCCTCACCAGTTTATCTAGTTCGAGTCCTCTGGCATGGCTTGGATGATACCAAAATCGTGGGATCATTCGGGGTAGCTTAGTGCCTACACCTCCTTCCTAGCAAATTAATGTTTTGACGGAAGCTGCGCGGTATATTCCCGGAAGTGAAAAGAAAAACAGATTATCCGGACGACGACAAAATACAGAAGCATGACAGAGAGCAAAAAGACAATATGAAGACATCCGCTGGCAAAAGAAGACGCACATCGTTGAAAAGAACGAAAAGAACAGCTTAAAGCCTATATATGATCCAGTTCCGATGGTTGTCACTGGGATCAAAGGGGATATGCTCACTGCCAAAAGCAGGAGAAGGATTCGACGAAGAAACTACGCCCAATGGTAACTTCTTAAAAACGGGTGCAGGCAACTCATTACACGTGGCGAGTCAGATGACGAGGAAGTGTTCGATACGGATGTACCCCTGGCTAAATGTTTTGGCAGTTTTCCGGCTAACGATTTTAAACCCCACTGAGACCCTAATATTGCATGCATGTAGCCGCGTAGACCGTGCGACACAATCAATGACACTAACAAATGAAGCTCAATATAGTATTGGTTATCGAGACTTTGTTGTAAAAACTCTCTTGTCATTCTCAACAACTTGGGGCTGGGAGGAGTTCAGAAACATTATCAATGATTTTAAAAGAGCCGTTTGATTAACGTAATAACTGTAATTTATTTTCTCCCACAGGTCAACAAAGCACTCCGAGATTTAGCACATGATGCAAACTCGGAAAAAGATGATCTAGAGATGCTGGAAAAATCTATAGATGAGTTCACATCAGCCTTGATAGACCCTCTAAAAGCTGACCCCGACACCAGAAAAACATTTCAAAGTTGTTTTGACTATGTGATTGACAAGGCAATCGACACAGAGCAGAAGAAGGTACAACACAAATAATAAAAAAAAGTTTCTAGTTAATTTATTATACTCCACCCCCATAGAAGATTCTAGCGGGAAAGCCGCTGCATATCTAGGCAACTTGGTGACCAAAGCCCAATATAATACCATTCCAAAAAACAGAACGTCATTTCAACGTCATCCATTGAATTAACAGAGAAGCAGAAGAACTCCAGTGAATACAACACCCCATGAGTTTGAGAGAAATTTGTTGGAAGTTAAATTTTTGAAGAAAATTTGGGGTTTAATCCCTGGGATTTGATGTGAGAGCTCTCGAACCCCAAATATTAGGCGGGAGCCCAAACCACTTAAGGCTCTTGAATAAATTTTGATAAACTAACAATCTGAGAAAGTTAGAAAACAAACAATCTGAGAAATTTTGAAAGAAATCGGTGAGATGGCATTCGTCATGCCTACCCGGTTCTCTCGCAGACAGACTCTTAGCTGTTCTGACCTGCCGCGTTGCTTGACGTTGCAGATGGTTTGATCAATAAATGACGTGGTGCAGAAGTTAAAGATTAAGATTCTCTACAATTCTCACCCTTGCTTGGGTAACTTGATAGTTTTCCTACATGCACATTTTCCGAATAGATGTTACCGTGGGTCTGTTCTGTAACAGATCAGAAGTGACGTCAAAAGTGGTAAGGACAAAAAAGTGCGGCACCAGGTGCACCCGAGTGTGTCACCGTTTTTTCGCGACGATATTAAAAAAAAAGATTTAGTGTGACATGAAACTCTCCTGTGATAAATCATATGTTAGAACTAAAGCAAATTTTCAACTTGTTGCGTAAAGTAATATAATGACGATTTTTTTCGCAGTTCCTCTCTCACCCGGTAGTGTATAACTTGCTCATCACTAAATGGTACGGCTCCTTTTTCGAAATGCGAAAAAATTCATGGTGGTCACGTAGACGCTGGGATACTTTTTTCTCAACCTTTGGACAGTGTTTGACATCGTCTTATTTCCCTTCCTCTTTGCCATTTTCTTCGTTGTGCATTTGATAAAACAGGGCTTGAGGAAAGGAAGAGGTTTGTGATATAGTTTTTTAAATGTCATTAAAATTGTTGACATTTTACAGTAGATGATAATGCGTTTTTACTTCGCTTAGCAAGCTCTTTGGTAATCAAGGTTTGAGCCTGGAGGAGGGAAGGGTGATAGCATTGACGTATGTTACTCCTGCCTCTTTAAAACTGCGTTACCACGTCAGTTTAGTCCTCCCAACTGACACAACACAGGAGTTCTAGCTGCAGCAATGAAACGTTAAACTCTGTAATTTATGAAACATTATTTTTGATCACTATCAATTCCTCGCCATGATTTGTTGCGAGACCTTTCAAGCATTACTTTAAAAAGTTCACCTTAAGTCATCAATTCGGCTTGAGTTCAAAATTTTTATTTAACATGAGTTTTGGCCAATTATTATTTAAGAGGGCTAGTTATTTGTATTTATTTCCATTGTGAGATAAAGTTAAAATTGGTCAGGGATTATTTGTAGGCCACCTATTTATTCCCATTAGATCATAAAAGTCATAAGAATTGTTGTGACCGTTATGTCGCCACTGGAATCAAGTCTTGAGATTAGATACCATCAGCAACTAGGGAGTTGTTTAGATGCATAGTGTTTGTTGATTTATGTTTTTTTAACTCATTGGCTTGATGGGATAGCGTCTTATGCTTCTTTAACTTGCAGAAACTGAAATGTGTTTTGTTTTGACGCTGGACAAAGATACGCTAAAAGAAGAATTTGATCTGATCAAGAAGACCATGAGCTACATCGTTCAGGAATATGGCTGCCAATCAGCCAACTATTGTGTGATTTTACGTAAAAACAACGAATTCATTGGTGGCATTAACTTTGAAGAGAGGTACTCTTGTAAGGCCACACTGCAAAATAGGATTGCCGAGTTAGAGCAGCCAAGCTCTCCTGCTCTACTCTTTGAAGACCTCGAAACCGTTTGTCGTGCATTCAAAAGCCCAAACGTTCGAAAAGATGCTAAGAAGGTGAGGTATATGCGCGCACGACCGATGTCCGCTGCTCTTTCGAGTTTGGTGATTCAGCAAGGAAGAGTGGGTTTACTTTTTAACCATTAGCTGGTTATTGGGTCTTGGTAAGGTAACACTTGCGATTGTAAGTTCGGTGATAGCTCTATGGAGTAACACTGCAAAGGAAGGAGGATACCTCCAAAAGTGTACTCACTCGGAACGGTTTTTGCCCTCTATCATTTTATTCGACCTGTGTTGCTTGTACTACCTGCAGCCATATGAAAATTCATATTCAACTGTGATTGATTTCGATGATCGCAAGCAGCATTGATATATGTTTCAGACGGAAACAATTATATTTTGTCTCATTTTCTTCCTGAAACATCTCCAGCTATCAGTTGTGTAGAAATATTAATTCAATGGCGAGCCAGACAGAAAGATTAATAATTTAGACAATACATAAAGGATTCAAGACGTTCAAGAAAATCTGCAATATATAGAAGAATTAGGTAATGTTACAAGCAATTGGATTTTTTACGTCGAAACTTTCTGGCAGTTCTTTTCTAAAAAAAAAGAAAAACTGACGTAGTTTTCAAGATTGATGAGTTTCACGGTTCATAATTGACCAACATCGTGAGTTTGGTGTTGAGAATTACATTAAATATCACTTTTAATCTTAGTTTGATTTTTCATCAGGTGGTCGTATTTTTTCTGAATTACACATTGAATATGTCAGTGGAAAAAACTGAGAAGTTACAGCGCTTAGTAAAGGATGTAAAGGATATGCAAGTTAACATCGTTCCCGTCGGTATTGGGGAGAACGCCAAATTATCAGAATTAAAAATGATGGTAACTAAAGATGGCACAGCACTTCACTTTGGAGAATACGAGTCACACGAGACGTTAGGGAGAGCTGTCATACAAGGTAACTTGGAGAGGTTTAACATTTCCACATCTCTCAGAAAAATTAATTTCCTATTTTGTGTTGGAAAGAAGAAGAAAGTATTAAATCCCGTTGTTACAGCTCGAATTAAAAAAGAGTTTTTTAGACGGTGATGTAATTTAAAGACTCTTGCATCTCCCTCCACTGCGCGGAAGTGTGCTTGGCTTTATCATTTCCATATTTCACTTTGCTTACAGGCATCGAGGGAAAGGACATCTATGGTGAGGACGGGCCTATTTGGCGTGTTTGGTAGCTATATATCCATAAACCGTTAAAGACTTTTTTCCAATAATTTTTGAAGATTGTCAGCGCTCTTCGAGTACCATTCTAAGCTAGCGTCTCACTCCTTGTCTTTAAGAGAAATACAAGGATTACTTTACGACTCCTTATTTCGTCTTTTTTCGCGACACGCTGAGCTATATCACCCTCCTCATTCTTCACTTCGCTCTTTGCCTTTCTCCTTCAACTGTTTCCTTCAGTCGACTAGAATTGGTTTTATCAGTTTTCTTCGTGGGACGCATTTTTATGGAGATTATGCAGTTTATCAGTGCTAAAAAGAACGGAGTGAAATCACACACAGAGAGGCGAAATAGTGACGGATACACCCACCGATTATGTTCACCTGAGGATCCACAAGTAAACGAAACAGGAAATGACAGCATTTTACGAAAGACTTTCATTCGTTACTTCAGGTATTTCATTTTCTGATCGATTTATTTTACTTTTGGAGAATATTAGATTCACAAACATGTAGAGGGTAAACTTAGACGCGACCAGTGACCAAATGAATTTAACTAACGGAAAAAAAGTTAACCATCTTGATTAAGGTAACAAATTGAGCACTATTGACTACTTGGGTGTTGCAGCTCACTGTTCATTGCTTAGAGCTGCATCAGTCATGATAAAGAGCACCATTTTCAATGCTTGGGTGCATCAATAGGGGCCAGTATCAAATGTTTTGGTACGCAAATACGAGCCCACGCTCACTTTTTTGCCACAGCGATTAGGATTACTGCACATTAGTTGGGTAGACCAGTATGTGAACCAGGAGTCGCTCCTCTTTTACTTATTTGGGCACACCGGTATGAACATGTTTTGATTCTTGGTTACACCATTATAGGCCATTGTTATTTGTTAAGGCACACCAATATGGGTCGATACTCCTTTTTTTTTAGGTACTCTCAGGTCATAAATTAGGTTTTACCCATGACGAGATCCTAGACATTAAAAACGACCGTATTGCCGATGTTTCGCATTGACAATCTACATACTAAAGTTTTAAGCCACACGATAATGATTTTGAAACTAACAAGCAAGAGAAAAAAAATAAGCAATTGGCAAACCAACAGTTGAAATATTCTATTTTCATGGCAATAACTTATTTTTTTAACATTTTAACACTGGGAAAATTGTAACAACACATAGTGTGCATGCGTAAACTGATTCTCTTGCGTGTGAATAACTTACGATCTGTGCATTATGCTCTTCTAACGCAGTTAATATCTATTATATTCATAGCGACCGCTGGAATGTGCTGGACTTCATCATTCTTGTTTTATACCTAATTACCTTCATATTACGCATGATCACATTAGGGATCTCCACCGACGTATCAGAAAACAGACTCTTGGTTGTGTCGGAGTATTTCTATGGTTTTATTGCCATGTTTCTCACAATAAGAGCCTTTGGTCAAGTCATAGAGCGCTTGCGGAAAATGGGTGCCATACAAATCGCCTTATTTTTCATCATCTCTGATGTCTTGACGATATTTTGGCAGTTTTTGGCCATGATTCTGGCCTTTGCGCTGCCCATGACAAAGATTTATATTGCTGAGAAAGCTTATACCTCAGGAAAAGCTTCCGCGGGTGATTTGTGAGTACAAATTGTGATCTTGCTAATAAATCTTCGAACCCATAAATAACATATTCTAACTTGCTGTCTTTATTCATTTCTTACTCTTTTTTCCGGAGCATGAATGTTTTTTTTTTTTTTTAAGTTGGGAAGGGAACCTCATGTGTGTCTAGGCGCTCAAAGAAAGTGACATTTGGCTTAGAGCTAATCAAGTGAGATTTAATTTTTGGATGGAAGTGTAAAAGGAGTTTAAAACTACTTACACCAAAGTGCCAGACTTTCTATGAAAAGCGTTTTTATTTACTATCTTTACCACTATGAAATTTTAACCATTCCTTTTCTCCTATTATTTCAAGGGTATGCAGTGAACCAGGGATAATTTGGTAAGAGTAAGGCTGTTGTTGTTGTTTTTATTCTAATTTTTAACATTGTGTACTGATCGTAAATACACAGAATTACGCGATATCTTCGCTAAACTTGAATTCTGTGTTTAAAATTCTTCGCAGTCACTTAAAACTTATGGTTGCGACCTGAATTTGTGAGGAAAATGGGCAGCGACCCATTACATCAGCTAAGTTTCATTTGCATGTTTTAATATAATGAATGGCTGGCTAACCTGTCGTTTCCCTGAGGAAAGGCAAATTGAGGTCCCCTGAGGGGGTAGGGGAAAAGTGAAATTGTGAATTCTGAAAGTGAATTACGTGTTTTGAATGCTTTGCAAATAATTATAACTCATGGTTGAGAGCTGAAATAAATTGTGTGGCAATGGAGGCGGCGACCCAGTACGCCCAGTGCGTCAGCTTAGTTTCACTTATGTTAATATATAAACGGCTGGCTATGTGTCGTTTCCCTGAGGAAAGACATAATGCTCTCAGTTGAAAAACTGAATGAATGATTATTTTATCTAACTCGTTGCTTTTGAAACTGTTCTACAGTTGGTGGAACATGGTAAAGCACCTAATCTGGTCGTTGCTGCACTGTAAAATTAAAAGAGTTGATTTGGCCCCAAAAATGGGGCCAAAACGA